GCATCTGGGGCCAGGTGGATGCATTACTTATGCAGTGACTTAGCATTACGAGTTCTGCCGGTTGTGAAGATAAGAGGACAAATGTGGGACGGGTTTGAGTGTGATTGTGTCACCTGGATGCACTGGGTCACGTGTCATTACTGGGACAAAAAAAAAAAAAACATCCTCTTCCAGCTTAAGTGCCACTGACAGTTTTTACAAAATAAAGTGATTTTTCTTCTTTTGTCCTTCCATCTCTCTTGTTATGCACAACTTTCAATTCTGGCATGTTTGTACAATCTAACATATCTTTTTCCTCAGTTCACTCATGTTTGCACTTGTGAATGTCTGATGCAAAAAGCAACAATTCTGAGTTTAAAAATCAATCAAAACCTTCCTTTTTTTCTTTTAAAAAGCCTTAAAAAGTCCCTTTCGCCCTCTTTCAGACTGTTGTCAATGCTTTTCCCCTGTGCGGTAAACCTTATCTTTTTTGTGTCATGGCTGGCCATAGTGTGTGACCATTTGTGCGCTGGGTTTTCCGCTGGCTCCTCTTATGAATCCGGTGTGCTGCACTGGCAGCTGCTAATGACTGGTTTTCTTTTCCACCTGCCTGTCCCGGAGCTTCCTGTGTTGATGATATGTATGCGGCGGCTTGGTTGGGGGTGGAGATGACAATGTAGGTGTGGAGGAAGTCAATTGCAGGTGTTTGCGTGAGCGCGGGCGTGCGCGTGTGTGTGTATGTGTGTGTGTGTGTGTGTGTGTGTGTGTGTGTGTGTGTGTCGTCCCTGGGGTGGGGGTGCTGACAGACCGGCGGGTAAACAGGCAGCCCTGCTCTCTGATCTCACCTGTTTGGCGCAGACACAGCAGCGTCTGCGGGGGCTTTCGGCGGCGGAAACGGGTCCTTTTTTGTCACGCTGGAGGGCCGAGCTCTTTTTTTTCTCCCCCCCCCCCCCCCCCCCCCCCCCCCCCTGTTTTCCCCCCCGTTTTTCTCTAGGTTGCTCTCCCAGGTGCGCGCAGGTAAACACCCAGGAAGAAACCGGGTAGAACTGAAGAAGAGGGGGGTTGCTGGAGGGGAGGGGGGAGGGGCGGGGGGGGGGGGGGCGGGGGGGGGGGGGGGGGGGGGGGGGGTGACACCAGTGTGTGTCTGAGTGTGTGTGTGTGTGTGCCTGCCTGCCTGTGTGTGAGTGTGTGCGTGAGGCAGCACAATTCTGTGTGTTCTCTTGCTTGATAAGGTGGTGCTTTGGAGGGAGGGGGGGGTGGGGGTGGCGGTGGGGGGGGTGTTACACATCCAAACTATAACAGACCACCCCTATAAACCGAGAGGAAGTGGGTTTAACCTGTGAGTCAAAGGCGCACAAACACAGCAGTCATGGAGTTTAAACTCTTCCGTGGGGTGACCAGGTGAGTGGCCCGTGGCTCGTGTTACATTGTCCAGAGGAAGTCTGGGATTATCTCCTGTTCCTTATGCAATGTTTTCTTTCTGTTTAAGGTCACCCAGCTCAATTTGGCCTTTAAGGCCCCGGCAGCTCATTCAGATACAGGAGGAAAGCTGAAGGGATGATGTGTAGCCTAACTGTTCTTTCACAGAATGATTGGCAGAGAAATTAACTACAGAGAGGGGCTAGCTGAAGTTAGAAGGACCACGATCTGTGGTTTCTGTTCAGAAATGTTTTATTGGTTAATAATGTTAGCATCGGTGACAGCTGTATCCTGGAACTGCGTTTCTGTTTGGAATGGTGAAATATGTACTCATGTATGTTATATGGGAACTCCAGTAGACACAAAGTAACGACACATCAGCCCAGTATATTTAACAATATATATTTCCATTGTCAATGTACATTCCATTTCGACATAAGCTTTCTTCACAAACAAAAAAGTTGGCATCTAAATAAATACTATATAAAATAGAACTTCAAAATAAATATATCTATAAAGGGAACCTTTATATGAGATTTTTTTCTTTTTTGTTATATCTAAACAAAAAAAAAAGCACAGAGCTCCTTTTTATCATCCCCAACAATGACATTGTAAAGGTATAAAGGAATGGAGTTGCAACTGTATGAGACTTTTCCTCTTATTTGGGTAGAAAATAATTTGTCGTTTTGTTTTAATCCATCTGTTGTTAGGGGTGCGAAAGTCATAGCACGACGACGGAGAAAGATGAGAAAGCAAAGTTTTCATATTTGAGCTGTTGTCGGAGATTAGTCCACACCCAGAACAGTATAAAGCTAATGTAAAGACCGTCACTTTTGCCAGTGACTTAAAATAAAGGCAGCAACTGTTGAAAAGAAAAAAAGGTCCAACGGTGATAAAGATGGCACGGAACACAACTCCGGAGAAAAACAAATACAGGAAGTGGGGGGGGGGGGGATAAACTGTGAGAAAGAGGGAGAAAAAGAGTCAGACATGTCTCTCTCTCTGTGGCATGGCAAGTTTTTGCACAGCAGCTGTGTTTGTCAATCAAGGCAGGCCAGGGGTTGCTGGCGGGGTTATTTCTCAGGGAGAAAGGAGGGAGGAGAGGAAGGAAGAAAAGTAAGAAGGAGAAAAGGAGCTGTGACACGGAGCAGAAACGGCAGGAAATGGGCTGATAGGGCTGGACTGTGCTCCCTGTGTGGATCCATTGAGTCCGCAGTCTTTGGGACTTGGTGAGGGAATTAGCTTAGCCTCTCGACTGCTAATGAGCCATAGTTAGCACAAACAGCGAGAGATTTTTTTTTTCTCCCCACTACCCCTCCCATTTCGTTTATTGCCGGGCACACTTTTCTAAATCAAGTGCGAGTGATAGAAAGATCGGTCAGTTTTGTTTCCAGCATCCTCTTCTCACCACCCTTTTTTCCCCCTCGCAACCTCCAAATCATCTTGTTCTTACCCTCAAAATATATATCTAATATATTCTCTATATACTTTGTACTGAATTGTAGTTATAATGTACCATGCAATCTTTCAAGGACATTTAAAAGTCTCTTCTAAAGAACACAAATGTTGTGAAACTATTTACAGCAAATAACATTTCACCTGCATAGCTCTATTACTAAATATATTGTCAAAACATTTGTGATTTTTGCCGCCCACCTACACCTGCTAGGCCTGTGCCCAGCCACACATTCGTTCTCAGTTTTGGCACCTTTCTCTCAGACAGAATTGCTAGATTTTGAAAATATTGCCTCATACATTCAACACCACGGACACTTTTCTGTTTCCTCTTTCCTCTTTTTTTCCTGTGTGATATCAGCTTTGTGCAACACAACATGTACAAGTATGAGCAACGTCAGGCGTCCCAAGGAGAGCCGAGGGCCTAACGTGACGGCAAAGGCATGTTTAATGGAGCAAGGACTGCGCCTTTATACCGAAAAAAGAAATAGCCATCCGTACTAAAGGGCAGCGCGCCTTTAACGATCGGCTGCCGTGAACTCCGTTTGGCGAGAGTGAACACGTACGCTCACTCAGAATGTGAAAACATGCTACTTTATAATAGCTTCCTTTGGCAAAGTCCTAAGAATGTCATGCGAGCCACTAAAATAGACTTCGAGAATAAAAGACTGTCTGACTTATGAAGCTATGCAGCATACTGAGTTTGATTTCATGAAGACACTGATGTGTGTGTGTAAAAGCAGAGCAAGGGTTGTGGGGCTAAATGTGGTGTAGGCTAACATATTGTGAGATAGCTGAGGTGGTTAATACTGTGCTTTCGTACATCCTTGAAGAGGTCCTAAAAAGGTTGTGCAAGTGGCAGGTTTGAGTTGACAAAGGCTGACTGGATACAAATACAACAGCAACTTTGCTAAGCCTTCCTTCCCTCCCTTCACTCTAAATCACCTGCATCCTCTCTCTTCCGGAAATGTTATTTTCTGGCCCATTTGTCTCTCACTTGGCTTACTTGCCTTAAATTATTCACTATTGCCCCCCACCCCACCCCCACCCCGAAATGGTTCTTTGCCTTTCTGTGCAAAGAGGAAGTAGGCCAGGGTCTTAGGCAGTTTAGAAATCAACATGCAGTAGGCCAAGTTCTAGAGAAGATTACCATAACAGTCCCTGAGAAAATTGGGTTTACTTTTTTATCTTTTTTTTAAAACACATTTCTCTACCACAAATCCACTTCTAGCATGGTGGGTAACCATTAGACTAGAGCATGCAGATCGTGACATGCATTACATCTGAGGTGATCGGTGAATAGCATTCAGAGAATTTCAGAATGTCTAAGCTCCACTAGCCAAAAATAGAAAACACACTGTAAGGTGATTATTTCTCACTTGCAGCACACTGCTGACACACGATACTGAGTGAGATTTATGGGAAATTACTATAATTTCAAAGTCTATAATGGTTTGTTTTTACATCTCCTCTATGGAGATAAAAACCTAGAGATAAAGTGTTAGCAAGCTAGCATCTTTTAGGTGTAAGAGGAAAAATGGCAACAATAGAAGATGGTGATCGTCATTATATTGAGAGTAAGTGATGTCTTGCAATTGTCTGTTGTAAAGCCGCAGTATTCTGTTGGTCATTTCTTGTTTTCATGTTTGACACTGGGCTGTGCTTTTGGGGGTGGGTGAGAATTAATAGCGATTGAACTCCATCAATAGGTTTTAAGGGATCTAAGGATTGGCGACAAACGTCTGGTTTGTTAGTATTACAAAATTAGCTGAGAAATATTGAGCAGCAGAGAGGTACAATGACTTTGTGCCCTCAGCCATTTTTGCACAGCAGAAACACCAGTCCCCACAATCTAGTCTCTTCTTCTTGTATCATTCTTACAAAACATTTAAAAATTCATTTCAAAGGGCCTTTAGCAAGCCCTACTAGCCAGCTTTCTCAGATGACCCCTTCTGATCAAACACACAATCAAACATTGGTCAAGAAGCCGTATAAGTACCTTTGTTTCATATCAATCATCTTCCAGCAGATTAATAGGGTAGTTTAATCGTTCGGTGTTGGATTGTCCTGTCCATATAGGTGAGCAACTATTGTGTGGTCTTGTCCATTTTCTACCAAGGCCCCCTGCCAGTCAGTCTGGTCCACTATCATGAAACCTGCTGCGGTTTCTCTGTCCCGGCTTTTCCTTCCACGCCTCCGCTTTTACACCCAGGAACACCCTGGGAATTCTTGCATCGGCAGCCAGGCCTACTAACATTGTCATAACACTTCTGTCCCAGTTTGGCCAGACCCATGGCTGGTAGATAGCAGACCAGGCAGGGTAGGACGAGAGAGACGGCGGCCATGAAAGACCAGCGGGCACAGCAGTTGGCCTGGGAACAGGAGCAGGGCTTGTCGGCGCAGGAGCCCTCGTCGTCCTCGTCCTCGGTGCAGTGGTAGAAGATCCCTTTGACCAGGCACATGCAGGTGGCCGTGTCCACCAGGCTCTGAGCAGAGCACAGGCACTCCTGGTTGCAGACCCAGCAAGAAGGTAAGGTTCGGGGGAGCGTGCACTCAGTGCATCGACACTTCCCGCAGTGCTCGCAAAGAACGAGGTGCTTCTTCTCGGTCGGGGAGGAAGGTATCAGTGCCAAACCTTGCTGACCCCCGTTGGAGCACACACCTCCTGCCGGAATCTTTGAAGACTTGAGGTCCAGGGATTTAGAAGAAGAGGAGCAGGAAGAAGAGGCAGAGGACGAAGAGCTAAGGACTTTAGATTCGGAGGAAGTGAAGCAGCCTGGAGTTCGGGTAATGATTGTGTTGACGGGGCCATGGTGAGGGTGCAAGTTTGGGTGGTGGTCCACTGTTGGTGTGGGCGCGGCGTGGTCCAACAACCTCTGATCGGACGAGGTGCTGCTGCTGCTGCTGATGGAGCTGGGCCTACCGCTGAAGGAAATCCACGGGTGGGTGGTGCTATCCTGGTGAGACTGGGGCTCACATCTGAGCTGCTGGTGGGGCTGATGTTGGTGATTGTGATGGTGGTTGTGGTTCGCCCCAAGGAAGGCCTCTTGATTCTGGCTCAGCCAAGTAATTCTCCGGTTCGCGGACTTCTGGCTCGGGGGCTGCTGGGACACCACGGCGGGGCTGTCGATGTAGTCGTTCTCCACGTGCGACGACTTTATCTGGTCGATCGGGTAAATTGTGAGAGGGTGTTGGAGACGGCCGTAGGGCACCCGGCTGTCCAACAGGGGTGGAGATATGAGGGAGGATGACACTCCGGGGATGTGGTGAGGAACTCTGGACTCCATGTATCAACGGATGCCTGGCACGTTTTCACTCTAAAGCAGCATCTAGCGAAGCTGAAAGAGAAACGTGCAAGACAGTTAGGACCGGTTTGAATGTGCATTATATGTTTAAATAAAGAAAAGGCTAAGGCATAAAGTGTTCACAAACGCTCCTCTTTGTAAATCAGCCACGTCACGGCTCCTTCTAAATGAAACCATTCTGTCAATTTTGGCTGCATGCTATTTGTAACCACTGCTGAGGCCTAATGAGCAAAAGCAATCACTACAATTGTACATATAACCGTTTTATCCTCTCAACAGAGACCTTTCTGTTGATCAGATTCAATGATATGAATGCAGAGCTGTAACATGCTGGTGGTTTTTGTACCGAGCACCAACAGGGTTTTAAGCTTAAACCTCTTCCTTCATTCTCACTTTGACATTAGAACAATAGCAGTTGGACTCTTCTTGCCTCCCCTCCAAAGAGCAGGGAGCACCACAGAACCGGGCTTGCATGCAAAAGACTCAAAAGATGCCGAACAAAGCAGGCTAAAGACGCGAGAAGGTTGCCGGGCAGACGAGACGTAAATGAAATCGAGACTTTGAATAGAATTCCCAAACAGTTTTTTTAATTTGATCTACAGTCCCCCATGAACCCTGGTTATATTCATAGAAACAAACCCCAGAATTTTTGAATGGGACTGATTTTTATGAAGTGCAGCCTTTTTGTGAATGAGAGCTGTTGGCTGCCCTCGGCGCTGCAAGCACGAATCGGTGCGCGCCGGTTGTGTTCCGGACCCAGCGAAAACTGGTTCAATCCAATGGGCCAGTTAGTATTTCACTGTCTGTCTATCGACCCACTTTGCAAATAAGGACATTTGTATCGAGGTCATATATTGCGAGTGCTTTCACCTCTCATTTATCTGTAGCCTAGTGTTTATTAAAAAAAAAGAGGCAGCACCGCAAAACCACAAAAGATTAGGATTTGTCAAAGTCTCGCACCGTAGATTATTCAAGAATACAAAATGTTTGCGATGTCGTTTATCGGGTACATTCATCTTAAATATGGTGACCTTATTTTTGAAAAAAATTTTTTTATCCTACTCTGTTTGTCTCCTGTTATCCGTCCTTTCCTCCGATTTTACAAAAGCCTTGTTGAGAAACCTGTTGCGACATTGCTGGCACCGGCACAAGAGCCTGCGATCATCAAATCTAGACCATTATGAGCTCCAAGCCGGAACTATGCGTGTGCGAGTGCGCGTGTTCGCGTGGACGCGCGCGTGTGCGTGTGTCTGTGTGTTTGTGTGTGTGTGCGCGTCCCTCCCCTGAATATGTGAATGGACTGAGTCATAAAAACCGGAGGCGGCCGCTCGGCATACTCAAATAGCCTGTTTATATAGGCACTGTTACCACGTATCCAATACCGTACCCGCACAATCTGGGAAACGACAAAAAATAAAAAATAAATAAAACGACGGCTTTAGGTCAATAAAAACTAAACAATGTGCGCCACCAAACAGACGTGGGTAGTTTATTATTTCATCGATGGGTGACAGTTTGGTGCGTAATTGTCAAAGATGTCCTGGGTTTATTATTCTAAACGCTCATTAAAGATAAATAAAATAAAGAAACCTGGTTTTGTAAAGTCGCCTGAAAAAAAAAAAGAAAGCTAATTACTAAAACACCTGACCCGGTTGACGTGATGTTCCCACCAGGCGATCTCTGCAGAAACGAAGAGGACACACGCCTGGGAACATATAGCCTACGTTTAAGCCCCAAACGGAGATTCTACACGGAGGGAAACATTTGTCCTATACTGTTTCTTCCCCCTTTTACCCTTCTCCTTCTTCAACCGTCTATTCATTAATTTATTTTTATCGTGACACGCTTTTCTGAAAGGCGTCACAGATCTGGATCACCGTGGACGGTGAAGTGCGCGTCCACTGTCCCCCCCCCCCCTCCTCTTCCTCCTCTTCCTCCTCCTTCCCCCAAAAAACAGCAGCGTGTCGACCAGCACGACGCCGCCGCTCATTTCCGTGCCTCGGCCCTGGCTTTTGCCTGAGCTCAGTTGGTTAAATATTTACCTGGAAATGCAAACAAGGCTCGGGGAAGGAGGAGGGGGGGTGGGGGGGGGGGGGGGGGGGGGGGGGTGGACGGCTTGTTGCAAAATCCAGAGCGCAATAGCTTCCCTGGTCCGTGCGATCGGGGAAGGGAGAGAGGTGTGTGTGTGTGTATGTGTGTGTGTTGGGAGGAGGGGGGGGGGGGATTGTCAAGTGCAAACTGGGACTGAACAGTCTGGTTTCGTGCAGTCACGCGCTCGCGAGTTCTAAACACTAAAAAAAAGAAAAACGGGTAAAACTTACTTGCTGTGTTTTTTTTTTTCAGGGTACGATTCTCATCTCTCCGCTGCGCGCAAAACGTCGTGCGCAGGTTTAGTCCACTTCCACGGGAATCGGTAGCTCCACACACACAGAGAGAGAGAGAGATCAGTCAAGTCCAAACGTTATAGAGATGCTTCTTTCTTTTCCCCCCTTTTTTTTTCTCTTCCTTTTCTTCTCAGAGCCAGCAAACGAACGCCGAGTGGCTCCGGCTCTCCTCTCTCCACTCTGCTGGTGCATAAAAGGCGACTGCGGTCGGGAACGCAGAGCTGTGGATATGATGTTGCAACCCACCCGAGGGGGAGGGAAGGGAGTTTTTTATGAATGGGAGGGTAAGAGGGAAAGGAAAGGGGGACGGCACTGCGCAGAT